TTTTTTTTTGTTTTTCTTTTTTCTTCATTTCTGCTTCCTTCTTTTTTCGTTTCTGCTTCCTTCCCTTTTTCGTTTCTTTTTTTCCCTTCTAATGCCTGAACCCCACCTCATATTTCGAGAGTTTCTTTTCCCAATCCTTTTTCCTATTATTGCATAATAACAGATCCTAAAAAAAACTCATGAATAACATCAAGTTAACTTTTCCTAAACAAGAAAATTTTGCCAGTGATTCTTTTGCATCATAGGAAACAAAACTAATGTGGGAGAAGCAAGTAAAATCATGTTGCAGCAGGGACACAACCAATAAACCCCTTTTTTTAGATCAATTGCAGGCAAATCAGAAAAGAAACAATTTAAAAGGGAAGCCAAGCAATTACCAGTTACAAAGAAAGGAAGAATATGACAGAAAAAAAAAAAAACACAAAAAAAAACACACCTGAAAAATATAGAAAAATCAAACTTTATATTCCTTGAAATTTCGAATACAAGTTGCTGTACTTCCTCTTCTTCTCTGCTCTCTCTCTCCCTCTCGGTCTCTCCAATATTCCTTCTAAGCTTCGCCAATTTTCTCCCCTTCTCCCTCAATTTTTCCCGAATTTTCCCTCCTTCCCCTAAAGCCGAAGGTGCCCCCCTTTTTATATAGAAATAGAGAGGACTCCAATTCTTTCTAATTCTAAATTCTAATCTCAATCTCCAAAATTACAGATAATAATCTAATCCTATTTGAAATTGGAATTCTAAAACTAATCTAGTCTTTTTACACATTTTCCCTCTTTCAAGACTAGATTCATACCTTTTAAAGATCAGGACTCCTCATTTGAATCGACTTCGAAAACTTCCCCTTCAGTTCTTGATAAAGACTTCAAATCCGAAAATCTCTTCTTGTGTTGTTGTGATCTATCCAAACTTTAAATGGATTTAGAGATAAATCAAAAGATTTTCGGAGTTTTTGGGAGAGTGGCTGGCGGCAAAGCAAAAGGAAGCAAGAAAAATTGAGGGCTAGGGTTCGTCTTAACCCAGCCCCTTTTTATTTTTTAGCCCATTGGTCAAAACAACGTCGTTTTGCCATTTTTCTTCTCAGCCCTTCAAGTTTCCAGCCTTTATAAAAAATAGTCCATTGCCTTCTAATTTTATCATTTAGCCCCAATTAAAATTGGGTTATGACAGTTTGTTATAGCAGAAGATTAAGTAATAATGTCACTATAACGTACTCATACCGGCCAGCAACATTAGCTGTACCAATTTGCAAAGACTATTCAAGTCAAGACTAGGAAATCTGTAAGAATGTGTGGTTGTAAGCATAATACTTAATAAATGTATTCTGTCCAACAAAAAGACTTAAGCTACAAAGGTTGGTGGAACCTGAAACTGAAAGATCTAGGCAATAACTATAACTGACATTGAAAAGGAGACTTAAGATCACTCTAACGCATTCAACCTAGCTACAATCACTAAATAAATTTGCAAAAACTATTCAAGTCAAGATAAAGAAATCCATAAGAATTACATCTTTAAAACCTCATTTGCTTCAAACTTAAATCCTTTAATAGAAATTCTAAACCCGGTAGCAATGGCTCAAGACCAAATTTGCAAAGACTACTCAAGTCAAGATTAAGAATTCATAACTTCATTATGAGCTGATTCACTTCATTCAAAACTTAAATCCTAGAATATAGTAGGGAACACGCAATTAGCACCAAAGCTTCAAAATACAAATATAGGTACTTTTCACATAGTTTTTACTTGCACAAACCCAAAGATAATTCAATTAATTCATTTATTCATGTCCCATTCCATACATTAAATTCAAATTCTAACAGCATTCCTAGGCCAAAAAAGTCCTTGCTCAATACAATAGGAAGCAAGAAGTGGGGCGTAACATCAGAAATTTCTTGACAAAACATTCACACATCACTACTAGCTGAGGCTCCATTTAGTACGGCTGTCATTTTGAATTTTTGGTTTTTAAAAATTTAGAAACCCTAAAGTAAAATTAAGTAGTTCTTACATTGACAACTCAATAAAATTTGGTTTTGGTTTTGGTTTTCCAAACATTCATAACTCTATACATAGAAGGGCATTGTTAAGTCAAATTCCTACGTGTAAATGGCCTTCTTTACTTAATTATCTTAATTCATCATAGGCATAGTTTAAATCTGTAACTAGTGCTGTAGGTTATGCTGCCATTCTAGGCTATAATGCCATGTTTTAGAGATTTTGATATAATCCTTTTTTATTTTCAATAATAATCTCTAATTACCATTAAAAAAAAAATTAAGTAGTTCTATAAATTAATTAAGTTTAGAGTTTTAGGTATTTGTTTTAAAATTTTATAGCCAATAAGTTGGCAATTTTAATTTTTAATTTTAGTTTTTAATTGTTAATTGTGATTTGTTTGAATTTTGAACATCAAAATTAAAAACTCAACTATTAAACGGAGGCTTAAGTAAAGTCATTCTTAGTTTTCAACCGTTTTTCCATCAATTTCACTTTTATGCTCTTGAAACTTCTAATGATACATAAACCACGGTGGATTCCTTCGTTCCCACATTTTTTTCATCAACAAAGGGAAATGTGGGGACGGAAAA